TCAAATCCCAAACCCAGTGGCTTAAACTCATGCTGGGTACGTGTGCGTGTGTGCCCAAGATCCAGAGAGAAGGGACTGTGGTGTGGCCATACCCCCGGGGAGTGATTTCTCATTTTCTGTCTCTCTGTCTTTCTGGTGAGCACACACGCCCTATAGCAAAAACCTCTCCCCCCCCAAAAAAAAGAGAAAGATTAAACATAAATAAATAAATAGTGGTTCTCTCTGAGAAAGAAACTGGAGGACTGACAGCCAGAAGGAGGAAATGTACTCCTCACTTTTTTACCCTTTGTAAAATGTTTGGATTCCAAAACCATCTTCACGTACTGCTTTTCCCAAAAAGGAATATTTAAAAACAAGTATATAATAACATATTACAAGACAATACACAATATTGTAACATTTTTAAAAAGTAAGTCAAGCAATTAAGACATCAAAAACTTCCACAAGAACCAAGCCAGATTCAGTCATTTTTGTCATGGTTTTATGTCCTTGATTCAGAACTGTCCAACTAAGCCTTGACAAAGTGACAGAGTGAAGCAGAGGAGGGACATGACCCGTGTCTGGTGCATCACGCCTCTGAGGAACAAAATTACCAAGTCATGTCTGTTTCATCCTCCTCGTTCCATAAGAACCGATGATTTTCTCGTATGACATCCAAGTCTGTCTTGTCATTTTCCCTGGAAAACAAAACTATTTCAACTTAATAGAACAAAAATGGTCAACGACAGGAGGTTAAAAGAGTTCTGTAGGATTGTTAAAAGTGCGAATAAAAAATATAATACATGAAGATAGCTTTATGTGTCTGAGTGTGGATATGTATACATACATGTACATCTATGTAAAAAAACATTTTGGTATTGTCAAAAGGCACTTAAAAAGAGTGTTGCATACAGAAACCAGTTAAATGGATGGAAGATCCATTGTTTCTAGCACTGGTTTCAACTACACAAATGGTGCTTAGTTACCAAAGTCTGGGTGAGGAATCTGAATAAACACTAAACAGTAAGGAAAAATGAAAACTTATTTTCAGAATAATAAGTTCCAGAATCTAACCCAAAGTCATAACAGTACTCTCCTGAGATCTGATGTTTTAAAAGTATGAATAACTCTCCAGACCTTATTTTTCTATCGTTTCCTAGAAAGACTAAGTAAGGCAGAGAAAGAGTTTGCTGGTAGGATGACAGTTCAGTGGTGGGGTGAATGATTGCTGGGCCTATAAGCTAAATTGACAGGGAAGCTAAACCAGGGGTAGGCAAGATGGTACAAAAATTTTTAGGGCTCAACCAACTAAAAAACTAAGTCAGAGAGAAACACACACACACAACTGAGAGGCTCTGACAGCAGAGTCAAATATAGGAAGGCATTCCATGTGTGGGAAATAATAAAGTGAGGTTTCTTATTTTTCCCACCTTTAAAAAAGTAACCCCAAACACTAAGATCTACAAATTTCAAAAATCATTGCCCAAAAGACAAACAAGCATTCCTCACATATTCTCTTGTGGCAGAGTCGCCCCTGCCTCAGCAGGTGCGCAGGCAACCTGAAGCCTGCTGCCAAAGAGATGAAATTGTGACAAGTCACTTGGCTGGAAGCAGCGAACGACCTCACTCTCACAACATAACAAGAAAACTGGAACAGAAAGCAGGGCAGAGTGACAGGATCAGAAGAACGGTAGCCATGAGTCTCTAAAGTCATCCACAGTCCCTTCCTGTTCTATGTAAAACTTATGATACTTACCCCAGACGCCCGAAGTCTTCTTTTTTGCCACCATAGTATAAAATATAGTCATTTACCAACTTTGCATGCCTTTGATACTGAAATGCAAAAAGTTAAGGATTTCATTTGCTAAGGGGTAGTTATGTGTCATGATACTTCAGTGGGTGAATAAAAGCATAGTATGGGGACCAGCAGTTGGTGTAATGGCTGTGTTGCTGGACTCCCATGTAGCTGACAGCAGTTTGAGTCCCGGACCCAGTGGCTTAAACTCACGCCAGATGCGTGTACATGTGTGCCCAAGATCCCGAGACGAGAATGGAGGAAAAGGGACTGCGGTGTGGCCATCTCACTTTCTGGGATGGCAGGTGGCATGGTGGTTAAGGATGCTGGATGCCCATATGGCTGATCACGGGTTGAGTCCTGGACCTGGCGCCTTGCTTTCTCTTGCTCTCTCTCTCTCTCTCTCTCTCTCTCTCTCTGTCTCTTTTTGGCCAAATTGAAAAAATAACAACAACAAATGGAATTAAATAAATAATTCTTTAGGAAAAAAAGCATAGTATGAGTCCATTTAGCTTTTTTTAATATTCAAATATTACATGTTTATACATTAAAAACATAGAGAAGGATAACTGTTACAGTGAAGATTACATGTAAAAGTGCTTTTACTTTCTACTAAATACTGTTTGTACTGTTTTGAATGTTTCAAACGCATACTGCTCTTGTGATGTTTCTCTACCTCTACCTGGAGAGAAAGAGCATCCTACTCTACTACTAGATCACAGGAGCCTCACACTGCCACTCATTCTAACAAGCACAAGAAGAATATTTAAAAATTATAGTTACTAGAGTATGATTTACAATTTCATTATTATTAAATATAATGTAGTTATTTTAGTAATGATAAAGTCTTCAGATAAAAGATGCAACTTTTATAATATTAAATCCTGATATTGGTCTTTCAAAAAAAGCAAATATAAGAAATTGGACATAGTTTTATACTTTACTAGTCAAAGATATATGATATTCTCATTTTTGTTTTAAAAAGCTCGATGGCATGCTCTCTAGCGCTGAATACTCAGCTGTACCTAACAGAGTTGAACTCACCTTCTATAATACTATCTGTGACAATATTATATTAAAGATATACTGCAATTTTATTAATCCTACTGTATCCTAACAGAATATTTAATTAGATGATGACACTTCCAAAACCGGTAATGAAACAGCGTTTCAGAAAAAAGAAGAGAGAAGCCAGACATCTGAAGATCTGAGCTCTAGCTCTTGATCTATCATTAACTGGTCACATGACCACAGTACGTCACTTCACTTATTAGGCTGGGATCAGGAAACGTTTTCTGTAAGGGCCAAATGGTAAATATTTCAAGCTTTGCAAGCCCTAGGGTCTTTGGTGCAACTGCTCGGCTCTGCCACTTTAGCATGAGGGCAGCCGCAGACCACACACACACACACACACACACACACACACACACGGCTGTCTTCCAAAATAACTTTATGTACAAAAATGGGCAGTGGGTGGGACCTTTGCTTCTGGAAAGATGGAGAAGACAAAGATGGAACTTCTTCCTATTCCTCACAATAACAACAACTAAAAACCTTGGACACTGAATGTAAAATAATCATACAAAGACTCAGAAAGGAAAAGAGAAAAAGGCACAGTGGGTTGGGGACTCGGGACTATGAAATAATCTGGTGGGAGTTCCTCAGTTTTTCTTTGTCTCACGTGCCCCAGGGCTTGAAGGTAAAGAAGTTGTCAACCTGGAAACACTAAAAAGGCTCAACAAAAGCCTGCTCTGTTTAACTAAATGGCCAACAGTCAGCCTAGCAAGACCAAGAATGTTTAGACCGTAATACTCCAGCCAAATACCTCAGAAAAAACTGTGATCTTGCCTCTACCCATGACAGAAAAGGAGTGCCAACTTTCACTCTCCAGGCTCAAATGAGGGGCTCCATGCTCAAACAGACTTGTGTCAGGGAAGGCGAACATGTTCAAATACCAAAGGCCCAAGTGGTAGAAGAGAGTCATAGAAAGCAGAGCTACTTGGGACCAGCAGTTAGCGTAATGGCTATATCGCTGGACTCCCATGTAGTCAACCGCGGTTCGCGTCCCGAACCCGGTGGCTTAAAACTCACGCTGGGTGCGTGTGCGCGCGTGCCCAAGGTCCCGAGAGAACAGAGGAGAAGGGACTGTGGCGTGGCCATCCCCCCTGGGGGGTGATTTCTCGCTTTCTGTCTCTCTGTCTCTCTCAGTCTGGCGAGCGTACTCGCCCTATAGCAAAAAAAACCCTTGCAAAAAAAAAAAAAAAAGAAAAAGAAAGCTGAGCTACTGAGTTAGAAGACAAAAAGAACAAATAAACTAGTGAGCCAATAGTACTTCTGTAACTTTTAAAAAAAAAAGGATGAGAATGATAACAAACAGAAAGGAAAGACTACAGATAAGGGGCGTATCAAATTGCCATTGTTTCCTTCTCCTAATGCTGGCCACTGCAATAAACACCCAGAAATACTTCAGTTCTTGCCTGGCCTGCCTTTCGACCTCCAATATTTCCCACAGTACCATGGAGGGCCCGTTTAGAAGTCAGCATTACAAGCCATAGTCGTACTGAAAAAGTGAATTGAGACCTAGCTACGACACGAAAGCAAGCTGTATGTAGCTTAAAGATAGTTTCTAGACACACTTGAAAATTAAAGCCACGGCAGGCCTAGGGATAGTCCACAGACCTAATTTAGGTAGGAAGAGAACAAATTAAAATGAGAGTAAAAAGAAGTATAGAAATAATAAATGTTGAAAGCATCCTAAAAAGGAGTTGGAAAAACATGTAGAGGTTCATAGACATTGTGACTCTATATATGGAATACTAGTTCTGTTTAATTATTTTTATCTCTAAATTTTTCCTATTAGCAAAGAGAAACCTGTACCCCAGTGTATAAATGGCAAAATTCTGTATCGATCATCTTTAAAAATAAAAAAGGCTATGTGACTATACACAATTTTATTAAAAGTAGACTACAAACCATTCTAACTGTAAAAATACAGAATGATTAAAAAGGATACAGCATCCATTGCTATGAGATGAAACCTTCTATTTCTTGCTTCTTCCCTGTTAAAACAAATTTTATTTTAAGCAAATTCAAACGTCTGCATTCTAATTAATGTAATCAGATCCCCTAGTCTCCCAGTTTATAAAACATCTTAAATCAAAGAATGTAATTCACACTGAAATACCATACCTATCCAGCAAGTCTGCTGCATCCTGTTTATGGGGCACCTTTCCATGTTTTTCTTTCTGAAATGGCTTTTTGAGCAGTAAATCATCTTCGACTGTCCTGGTGTATTAAGAAGAAAAATCATTAAGAGTTAATTTTTCCAAAGGTAATGGGAACAGGTTTTTAAGAATTCAAGTCTTAAGTTAAAAAAGACAAATCTTTAGTAAGACATTTTTATATCTCCTTAAATAACTAAATTAATTCCTAAACTTATTTAATTCCTATAGAATGGAGAAGATGAAACTAACAAAAGCATGGGTTCCACTGTCAGACCACCTAAGTCTGCGTGTGATCCTGCCATTTACTATCTTCATCTTAAAATGATGAAATTACTTAATTTCTTTATGTCTCAATTTTCCTGTTTGTAAAGTGAAAGTTTTTGGTAATTAATAACTTGGAAAAAGGTGAGCTGATTATTGAAGACAGAGATGTTAATTAAGTCCTAGTCACGTAGATAAAAATAGCTCAGGCCTACTCTGTGGCCTGGTGGTTAAGCGAACGGAATCTCATATGGATGACTGATCCCATACACCCAACCGTGTGGTTCAAATCCTAGCCCTGGAGGCTTGAAAAATATGCTGGGTACATGTATGTGCCTCAAATCCCAAGAGGATGGAGAAATGGAAGAAACGGACTGCACTGTCCCCTCACCCTACTGGGGGTGCTTTCTCCCCATCTCTCGCTCTCTGGCAAGTGCATTTACCCTCTAACAATTTTTTTTTTTTTGGAGAGGTTTTTGCTATGGGGTGCGTGCGCTTGCCAGAAAGAGAAAGACAGAGAGACAGAAATAAGAAATCACTCCCCACAGGGGGATGGCCACACTGTAATCCCTTCTCCTCCATTCTCCTCTCAGGATCCTGGGCACACATCACACGCGCCCAGCATGAGTTTAAGCCACCAGGTCTGGGACTCGAACCGTGGTGAATGACATGGGAGTCCAGTGACATGGCCATTATGGCAACTGCTGGTCCCACAAATTTTTAAAAGAAAGAAAAATAACTCTAGAGCAGATTTATTAGATTTACTCAAATTCTATTCTTACAAAGTAATGTTTTTAAATCAACAATCTAGAAAATGTAAACCACCAGGACCAGCAGTTGGCATAATGGCTATGTCACTGGACTCCCATGTAGTCGACTGCAGTTCAAGTCCCAGACCCAGTGGTTTAAACTCACGCCAGGCACGTGTGCATGCGTGCCCAAGATCCTGAGAGGAGGTGGAGAGAAGGGATTGTGGCGTGGCCATCCCCCTGGGGGGTGATTTCTCGCTTTCTGTCTCTCTTTTCTTTTCTCGCTTTCTGTCTCTCTGTCTCTCTCTGTCTCTCTGGCAAGCACACACACCCTACAGCAAAAACCTCTCAAAAAAAAAAAAAAAAAGTAAAGCACCATAAAACATAACCTATTACTATATTCTGTTATCTAGGTAGACTAAGTATCCTATTATAAGGTTCAGTGCCAGTGAATATGCCTAATATATTGTTCTTGGTGTGAAATAATAAACCAATTTCTAAAAGGTTAGTATGAATCAGTCAACCACTCCTGAATTAATAAACAAAACTTAGTTTCTAGGCACTGAAAACTGAGGACGATACCCCGAGCCCCACCACCTCTGCCAAGATGAAGCTTGCTTAGATCACCCAGGCTGTATGTCTGACAGTTCTCATCCCTTCCAACTCAGTAACACCTCCATGGGCTTCCTCCCTCGACTTCGTCCGCTCCTCTGTGTAACTATCAGGACTATTCTGCTCTATTAACACAACCTCATCCTCCTCACTAACCTCATTGTGAAGGCAAGTACTAGCAGGAGGTGACGGACCAAGCCCCTGCTGAGCGATGACATTTGCAAGCAAACATCCCTTGACAGCTGAGTAAAAATACATGTAAGAGCGGAACATGAAGCCTTTCACTCCTTTCCTTTTTCCCTCCTTCTCTTTCAATAAACTCCTCGCAGCACAGACATTACATTCTTATTTTCTCACAACTGTTCTCCAACTTTGAATCCACTCATTATAATTTAGTGGGGGAAAAAAAATCCATTCACCAGCACAGCTGTTCACATGCAAACACAATCCAACAACTTTCAATATTCCTTATTTACGCCTCGTATCAATCCAGAAAAGGTATGAAGCACAGACCAATAAAATGTCACTTACCTTCTTTTCCTTTTGCTAGATTCTCCGCAGTGCTCATCATCGCTGAAGTCAGAGTCATAGCCTCCATGACCGTGCATCTACAAAGGGAAAGGAAATCGGCGGTTTAGAACCTAGCCTGCTCATTGTTCAGGAAACAAAACAGTTCAAAACCAGTTAGGTAAAGGACCATGATGGCAGATCACTGCTCATGGGCTATGGAGTCAGTAAACGTTCATTCACCTAGAAATAACAGACTTATTGGGGCCAGCAGGTGGCACAGTGGCTGAAGGGCTGGACTCCTACATGGCTGATCACAATTAGAGCTGTGGACCCAGTGGCTTGAAAATCACACCAGGCACATGTGCATGCGTACCCAAAATCCCAAGTAGAATGGGATAGGGATTGCAGCATGGCCATCCTCCCAGGGAGTGATTTCTCATATTCCTCCTCACTCTCTTTCTCTGATGAGCACACGCCTATGGTAAAAACTTAAAAACAACAAAGAAAGAAGTAACAGCTACATCTTTCACAAAAATAAATAATTTTTCAACTTTAGTTCCTGGGTTGTCAGCAAAGCCATGAAGCGTTTTTGCATAGAAAAACAGAAAAAATAACATCATCAGGTTTCTGATAACCCAGTATCATTAGGCAAACGAGACAGGTTGTAATCCTTCGACTTTCCATTGAAATCCAGGCTTAGAATCTGCAGTGTCTGCCTTAACAGGTTCAACAATGCTTTACTTTTTATTTCAGAGTAACAGCAGTTACTATGTATTTATCACCAGTTTTGTTCCACACATTGTGCTGAATGCTTTAGGAAGGATGCCTCTAATTCTACAAGTTAGAAATGCTGCCTCCACTTTGGGGATAAAGAAATCACAGACAAAGGAAGTCCAGTAAAGCAATTTTACTAGACAGGTGCTTTAACCAGCTAAGCCACAGAGCCAGCACAGTAAAGCAATTTTACAAAGGAAGTAACCAGGCTGATCTAACGGATTTTCTTTTTTTTTTTTTTTAAGAATTAATATTATTTATATTATTATTTTTAAATTTTACCAGAGAAAGACACAGTGAAAGAGGAAGGGAAAGTGAGAAAGCAAGTTGCCAAGGTCCAGGACTTGAACCACAGTCACCCATGTGGGAGTCCAGTGCCTTAACCACCATGCCCCCTGCTGACCCCTATATTTGATTCTTTTTTTTTTTTCTTTTTTTGGAGAGGTTTTTGCTATAGGGCGCGTGCGCTCGCCAGACAGAGAGAGAGAGACAGAGAGACAAAGAGCGAGAAATCACCCCACAGGGGGGATGGCCACGCTGCAATCCCTTCTCCTCCATTCTCCTCTCGGGATCTTGGGCACGCACACACACGCACCTGGCATGAGTTTAAGCCACCAGGTCCAAGACTTGAACCGCGGTCGACTACATGGGAGTCCAGCGACATAGCCATTACGCTAACTGCTGGTCCCCTTGATTCTTAAACCCATAATATCAACCACTCCGGATTGCCTCTCAGAGCTATGAGAGGCAATAGCAATACCCCATAGAAATTACATTATTTGTGAATAGTACACTATTGACCATTGAAAACTGCCTGTTAACTCTTTCAACATAAGTAGAGATTTCCATTTCCTCTTATGTTTCTTTAGGGTAAACCACTTTGCCCTTTGGCATAGTTAGCTTTCCCTTGTCTCGATTCATTTCTGAACTGAAATTTTTAGAAATGGTCAATGGAAGAAGCTCATGGTTCCAGCAGTACACTGAATTTGGGATGCACTAATGGGGTATGGATGGAGAAACTATCTGATGTCAACAATACTAATTTACACCACTGGAAGAAACCAGTCCAGGTGGAATGCTATAATACATTTTCTAAACTTCACTATTCACCACAGCAAGAACCCCCTAGGAAAGAACCCCCTACAGTTCATTGCATTGGATCTAAGACAGAAGGCATGCTTCCAGAACTGGGCACCTTGAGTCCGTCGCCTCAACCCTTTGAACTTCAGCTGTTACTTAAGGCAGTAACATCAAACAATCTTCTCGTTCTCCGAGTCTGTGATCTTTCTATATTCTCTGTTCAAACCTACACTCTCTTCCCTCTCTCTGGTAATTCTAGAGAGAGGAAGCTTCCAGCCTAGGGTAGCGATGAAGGTTAGAATTCCACAATTCCAATCCCACCCTTGCTTCCGTCTGTCACGGCCTTACACGCCTGGATTCCACCCCCTGTACCAGGTCACCTCCTTGCTCACGTGTCTTACTACACCTGTTCAAGCCATACCAGCCTCTCGCCCCCTGTCCCGTGTGCTCACTTTCTTCACATCTGGATAGGGACGACTTTAACGTGGCGCTTAGAGGGATGGGTGAGGGCTGCCTATTAGCAACAGAATGCCACGGCAAGTTCTGCACTTCCCACTTGTCTTTCTTGGGGCGTTTTCCTTAGCTGCTCGGAGGCTGTTTCCCTACTTATTAAAACGAGGCTAATAAGAGCGCCGACCTCGGGGGACTGTACGTTAAACGAGTCATTGCATCGAAGGGGTTTCTGAACGGTGTCTGGCACAGGGAAACCCCGTGGATGCTCCCGTCGGCATCCCCCAGCTCCCGCGATCTCCCACTTCCTTTTCCTCGGGTGGGTTCGTCCACCCCACAACCACCTTAACTCGGGGGTGAAACCGAAACTCTCTCACTCACTTCAAGCTACGAATCAACTGACAAGGGCCCAGAGAAAGCCGAGAATGAAGACGCCGGAGTGTCCAGAATCTGTCACCAACTCGAGGAAGGAACAAGTTTCGAGGGCCTTGTCCCCAACGCCAAACGTGGCCACGGCCCTCCTCGCACACCCTTCCCCTGCCTCCCTGCTCTGCCAGCTCTGTCACGAACTGTTGCGCCCTTCTTCCCGGTAGCTGCAGCGACAACGCACGGCCTGAGCGAGCCGCTGCAGGTCCACCCGGTCCGCCCCGGCCGCGTAGCCTCGCCACACCCACCGCCCAATCCTCGCCTCTCCCTACGGGTCCCGGCTGGGCACCGCTTCCGGTCTGACTTGGCTGCGTGTCACACTTAAATGGCCCCGTGCTCGCGTGCGTCGACCTTGTGCTGCAGCTAGAACCGCTCCGGGAAACTAGGGCGGCGGGATAAAAAGTCCGGAAGGGGAAGCCGCGGTTTCCTACTTGCGCAAAGTCGGGTCGTCACCCCAGTTTTTTTCTGGGGCCTCCTTCCCTTCCCCTCGAGGGAATCCAGCATCCAGTACCATGTGGCACTACGCGCACCTCAGCCCACGACCCTCTTTTGAACATATATTTTGATTTAGAAAAACCTTGGCTGCCTATCACCTGCCAGCCTCTCTCTAGTAACCTTAGTAACGCCTCCTCGGAGCATCCTCGTCAGCATCTCGGCCTCGCTCGGCCTCTCCTTTTCTCCCTCTCCCTCCACTAAAACGGCTCTCTTAATTAGAACAAAAATAACTTTCCATCGTCTCACCACCCACACAATAGATACCGTTCCAAAAGCAGGGCTGGTGGCAAAGGAGTGCATGGAATTCGTGAGCAAGAAAAGGGACGGGGCCGATTTCACAGGGTCGCATTCTCTCCTGACAGCAAGCTGGCGCTTGTGAAACGGATCCAAAATAGAATCTTAAAAAAAAAAAAAAAAAGCCAAAAAACGTTCAACTATTTTAAGCGGCACGAGGTCCTGCGTTCTCTACATTGACGCCCTGCTCCGCTTTCCAGGCTGGGTCCCGATCCCCGGCCTGTCTCCGCATCACCCCTGTGCGTCTCTGCTTCCTTCCCAGTACCCACCGCAGTGCCCTGGCAATCAGGAGCCCTAATTTAACATTTGTTGAAATGAACTGGTATGCCGCTAGCTCTGACAACGGGCCCTTTTTAGAGGAAACCTTGGCACTTAACACCCTAATCGGTGGGCAGCACTTCAAGGCCCTTTGCATCCCCGACCATAGATTATACACATATTGTGCTATACCCAGAGCAGTGACTGTGAGCTTGAAAAGCTGTAAATTAAATGGTTGCAAATTCAATTGTTTCCAAATGCAATCAAATTATACTTCAATTAAAAAATATTTACTCAGAAGACTAATTGGAAGCCTTGCAATCTAATGCTAATATTGAGTTCCTTTGTCAAGTAGTTTATTTTTTGGAGAATACTTAAAAAACCTATTTTGCTCTTTTATGATTAAGACCAAACACACCTGTATCTTGCATCCAGTTTCCTTTCTACCAACACTTATTTCATTTTTCTACCATTCCTACTATCTTTTCATCCATTGCTTCCTTTTAATTTTCCAGCACCCTGTGCTGCTGTGTAATTAGCCCCATTGTACGCAGGAGGAGCAGGCCAGAACCTGAAGTCACAAACCTGGTGAGAGTCTAGAACTGGAGTACTTCTCTCTTTGCAAGACCTAATGTCTGTTTTCTCTCTCTTTCTCAATGCATGGAATGTGTGGGAGTAGCTGTTGGTTCCAGTATTTCTAAGAACTTGAAAGCTGTTGCTACCAGTTTATTCAGGCAAAGATTTACATTTTTCACTGTGAGGCAGCAGTGATTAAAAGGAAGTAAATAGGAAATGTATGTTAGGGACATATCTGTACTAAAATAGCTAATACAGGATAGAAAATCTAACTGATCAGGGAATCTCAAGTTAGCAAGTATAGATCACCAACAATAAAAAACCACAAATATTTATTGCCTGCCTGCTCTCTGCATGGCACTGTCCTAGCCATCAGGGTTATGGGTATGTAAAGGCCACTCTATATTCTTGAAGACTGAGTAGAAAGAAGGATAGAATGTATAGAACGACAGTAACATATTCTATGATATGCCAAGTGCCTAGTAAATGACATGAACCTATGGTGCCCAGTCTGTCAAATGTGTTATTTCAGTGACCATGAAAATCCGAATGTGCACCAGTACTGCATAACTGAAATACAACAACTAACTCCTGTGGTGGGTATGTGTAGGGGTGAGAGGAGTTGAATGATGGTAGTGGTGATTATCAAGTCATGTTAATGCAAACTCTAAATGTGCATCCTGCTGATACTTTACATCTTTGAGTAAATTGTGTTTTCCGCAAATGGTCACACCAGTAAATTCCATGTAATATGCTCTTTTTATGACATGATCCTGACATCCCTCTATAGCAAGCTGCTGTCTGTAGTCCCAGCCTTGAATCTGGGAATATCAGTGACTACGATAGAAATCATGCTAAGAGACTTCTGAGGCTAACATCTGGCGCTAGCCTCTCTCTCTTCCACTACTCCTTTTCACAATTCTGCTCTGACTAAAGTGATCTAGTCATTTTTCCCTAAACAACCCATGGATATTTCAGAGTTGATAGCACTTCTGCCTGCTTCTTCGTCTGTCTCCTTCCCCAGCTGACATGGAGTAGAGTGGAGATGAGCTGTCTCCCCTGAGCCCCAACACAGAATGCAGATTCATAAGCAAAATAAATAGTGTCATTTCAAGACACTGAGTTTGGGATGGTTCATTACAGACCACTAGGTAACCAGAACTATCTGCTCTTTCATTCCCCTCCCCCCCATATTATTCGATGAGACCTCAGGATGCTGGGTTTTGTTTTTTCAACATGCATGCCTCTTCAAATTTACTATTCCTCCACCTAGAATGGTTTTCTCCTCCCTCATTGCCCTCCCACCCACAACCCTCCTTATCCTTCAGACTTCAGGCTAGGGGAAGGAAAAGCCTTTCGTGGCCAGTCTCTCCCACAAACTAGGTAGGACTGCTTATAATATGTACCTATTGGGACCAGCAGTTGGAGTTGTGGCTGTGTTACTGGACTCCCATGTAGTTGATTGCGGTTCGAGTCCTGGACCCAGTGGCTTAAACTCATGCTGGGTGCATGTGCGTCCATGCCCAAGATCTCGAGAGGAGAATGGAAGAGAAGGGATTGTGGTATGGCCATACCCCTGCGGGGAGGGGGGGATGATTTCTCGCTTTCTGTCTCTGTCTCTCTCTGTCTTTCTGGCAAGTGCACGAGCCCTATGGCAAAAACGTCTCCATAAATAAATAAATAAATAAATAAATAAATAAATAACACCTGTTACTTTCTGCAGAACTGAGTTACATACACACACACAACTCAGTCCACGTCTGTCTCGCCCACTGAGATGTGAGCTCACAAGGACAGAGACCACACTCTGTTATCAATGCTGAATGCCCAGTGCTCAATATTGTGCTAGATGCACAGTAGTTGCTCAAAATATTTATTGAACAAATAATGTACAGATAAGAAAACATTAGAGAAATTAAAGACCCCGCCTAGAGTCATGAGCAAGCAAATAGGGATAAAATATGACTGCGTCAAAGCTCGTGCTACTGACCACCGTGCACATTGCTCCTCAGCAAGGCCCACGGCAGGGTTTTTTTGTTGTTATGCTTTTTTATTTGTTTGTTTAAGTTTTTGCTATAGGTGCATGTGCTCACCAGAAACAGGGCAAATGAGAAAGCACCCATGGAGGGTGAGGAGAGAAGGCTACTCTGCAATCCCTTCTCCTCCATTCTCTTGTCAGGATCTGGGGCACACATGCACATACATGTGCCCAGTGTGGTTTTCAAGCCAGCAGGTCTGGAACTTGATCTGTGTGTCAGCCATGTGGGATCTAGTCACCTTAATCACCATGCAACCCATTGTCTCCACCATCTCCAGGGCAGTTTTTGATGCTTAGAAAGATTAGAAAGATTTTTATGAAGTAAAGGTACCAGATCAGTTGAGACACAGGGATTAGCAAGAGTTGAGAAAGGATTTTTAGAGGAAGTTGGACTTAAGCTACAATTGAAATGTAGCCATTGAATCTGCTCAGTGGTACAGCAGTAATGCATTGCTCAAGTGGAGCCGGATCCAGACAGAAGGTCACAGGTGTGGTTCTCTGGTCAGCCTACACACTGTAGGCACATGTGCCTGTAATCCGTACTGGCTGGGAAGGGCGGAAGGGCGGCAGGAGGGAATGGATCACATGCCCTGTTTCATGGTGTGAGATCCTACTGAAGGTGCTTATCTTTCTTTTTCTCTCTGTTGAAATAAGTGAACCTTTAAAAGATATAGGTATTACATAAGAGAAGAGGAAATGGGAGAAGAGGGCAATCAAGGTGGGGGGACAGTAAAAGAGAGGTAGAAATATCCATGGGTTGTTTAGGGAAAAATGACTAGATCACTTTAGTCAGAGCAGAATTGTGAAAAGGAGTAGTGGAAGAGAGAGGCTAGCACCAGATGTCAGACCTTCTTAAACTCTAGGCTGTAAAGTTTGGTCTAGAGCTACGGAAGTGCTGTGAAGAGTAGGGCAGTCATTTGGATGGGAAGAAGTCTGGAACCAAATGAATTTATATTTTAATCCTGATCTGCTATTTACTAGCTATGGGACCCTGAGCATCACTCAGTTTTCTTCAAGTGTTAGTCTTCTGTAAAATGGGGATAACAACAGGAACTCCTTCGCAGTGGTATCTGAGACTCGGATGTTGCATCTGAAGTGTTTAGTCCTCTGGTTGGCACACAGTAAGGCTTAGCATATGTTCGCTGTTGTTTTAAAGAGGAGGAAATATATTTAGTGAGTTTATTTTTGGTTGCCAGAGGGTGTGTGCACTTTCCAGATTTAGAGAAATTAAATAACTGTCCCAGAGTCATGGGCAAGCACATAGAGGCACATACATGATTGACTTCCAAACACCCCCCAATGGAGTGTGGCCATGCCACAATCTCTTCTCTCCCATTTCTCCCTCCTGTCAGGATTTTGGGCACTCGCACATGCGCCCCCTTGTGTTTTTCAAGCCTCTGAGGAAGAGATTTAAACTGTGGTCGGCCATGTGAAATCTGATTTCTGTAATCATTAGGCTATAGGACCAGCCCTGCAGTCTTTTAATCGTGTATTATCCTCTTAACAACATGCAGAAAGGCAGGAGTAGCTGGAGGCGGGCAGGACACTGGGGAAGGTTCAGCTCAGCCCCATGGCAGGA